CTGCTCCTTAGTCTTTCTAATTCTCACTCTGTGCAATGGCGTCTCACCGGGATGTAGCAGAGGATGTAGAACTTCTTGCCCACTGAAGCTCAGGGAAGGAAAGCAGCTTTTCTCTCCCGTCCCGTGAGCCAAGCTAAGCTTCTGAGACCTGGTCCTTGTTGGTTCAGCCCCACCTGCCCTTGGAGCCCTGGCACAACGTACGACGATCTGTCTCGGGACAAGCTCCTGCGTACACCTGGGCCTCAGCTCCTCCGGATGAGAGAGTGGAAGTCTTCTCCAAGCTGCTATTTTATGATTCCATGGGAATTTCCTCTTTGTCATGACTAAAATCTAGCAAACTTATGGAGTGTTAAAACATTATTTCTGCTATTATATAAGGAGAAGGCCTCAGAGACATCCTGGTTCAAGTGTGAATTCATTTTAGCTTACACAAGTGAAATAAATGAAATTCTTCCATTAAGACTTTTAAGCTGTGTTTAGTAAAAGAGCCAGATTTTTAAAATCTTTGTGTTAACTATTTTCTTTCCAATTTACAGCAAGATTCCAATAGTAGATACAGTGCGTTGAATGTGCAGCATCAGATGTTGAAAGTGAGTAATTTAATGTTGTTCTTCGGGAATGAGTGAAAGGATTAAGTAACTTAAGTGATTAAGGACAGTTACAGAAAGTTGATTTCTATTATAATACTAGAGGCCCGGTGCACAAAATTCATGCACTGGGGGGTGGGGTTCCCTCAGCCCAGCCTGCCCCTTTCACAGTCTGGGAGCCCTCAGTGGATGCCTACTAATGGCCACAGTCTGGCAGCAGAGGCTCGGAGCAAGCATCCCGTGTGTGTGTGTGTGTGTGTGTGTGTGAGTGTGTGTGTCTGCTGGGGGCCTGCCCACAGCCACACCATGGAGGCTTGGAGCAGGAGCCCCTCTCTGTTGATCTCTCAGGCTCCTGGCCTCCACTGCATGTTGTACTCTCCCTTGAGCTATGGCCAGGATGGGGGTGCTGTTTGCAAGCTGGGCTTTCCTGCTCCCGGATCGCCATGGCGATCGGGGAGCAGGCCCAGCTGGGGGCTGCCCACAGGCCGGGCTTTCCCGCTCCCAGGTCTCCATGGCGACCAGGGAGCAGGCCCAGCTTGGAGCTGCCCACAGGCCGGGCTTGTTCTCCTGCTCCCGGATCCCCATGGCGACCGGGGAGCAGGCCCAGCTGGGGGCTGCCCGCAGGCCGGGCTTTTCTGCTCCCGTATCAGGCCCAGCTAGGGCTGCCTTCAGGCCAGGCTTGCTTTCCTGCTCCCGGATCCTCATGGCGACTGGGGAGAAGGAGCAGCTGGGGGCTGCCCACAGGCTGGGCTTGCTTTCCTACTCCCGGATCAGGCGTAGCTGGACCTGCCTACAGGCCGCACTTTTCTACTTACCGATGGCTGGATCACCACAGCGACCCAGGGCCCAGTGGCACTTTCCTGCTCTCCAATAGTCATAGGGTCCCGGCTGGGGGCGGGGCTTAGCAGTGCGGGGCACGGGGGTCCTGGCTGGGGGCTCAGGTAGCACACAGGGGTCCCAGCTGGGGGCGAGGCTTATGCCCCACTGCCCAGGGCTGCACATGGGGCCCGGTGGGCAGCTCGCACTGTCCTGCCCTGCCTGTAGTATAGGATAGAGGCCTGGTGCACGGGTGGGGGCCAGCTGGTTTTCCCTGAAGGGTGTCCCGGATCAGGGTGGGGCTCCCGCTTGGGTGCCTGGCCAGCCTGGATGACGGAGTAATGGCTGTTTGCAGCTGGTCACACCCCTTCAGGGTGGGGGTCCCCACTGGGGTGCCTGGCCAGTCTGGTTGAGGGCCTGAGAGCCGTTTTCAGGCTGGAGGGCAACTTAAGCTCCCAGCCTCTCCTTTTTTTCTTTTTTTTTTTATTCTGGGATTTATTTACCTTCTATGGCTGTCACTGGAGCTGAGAGCTGGCTCCAGCTCTGAGGGCTGAAAGCAGGTTTCTGGGTCTGTTTGGCTTCTATAATTGAAACTCTGTTGCCATCACAGCAGCTCTAAGCTCTGAGGCCAAAGCTGACTGAAAGCAGGTCTCTGGAGCTTGTTTAGCTTCTATAATTGCAACATAGTTGCTTAGAGTGCAGCTCAGAGGCTGGCAGCAGCAGGTGGGGAACGTTGGCTTCCTCCGTCACTGGAGCAAGCAAGCCTCCTGTTCGCTTCAGCTGCGTGGCTGCCGGCCGCCATCTTGGTTAGCAGTTAATTTGCATATCACCCTGATTAGCCAATGAGAAGAGTGTCAGGGTTATGGTCAACTTGCATGTTTCTCTTTTATTAGATAGGATGGTATATTAAAGTTATATTGGGCTCAAAATGATATGTAAGTATAATGCCCCATCATATTTTTACCTTTTTACAAATAACATGTTTAATTTATTATACATTTTCTTATAAATCAGACTCTCTGGTCAACTACTACTTTTGTTTTTCTCTTTATTCTTTAAGGATTTTTTGTTTAATTTTTATGGTGGTTTCTCTTAGATATTTTCTTTATTTAGACACACTGCAGGCAGTAAACTATTCAAATGCCTCCTTTGTGCCACTAATACTTAAAAAGTCCTTTTACAGACCACTTTGAGAGAGAGAGAGAGAGAAACATCGATTGGCTGCCACCCATATGTACCTGGACCAGGGATTGAACCGCAAACTAGATATGTGTCCTAACTGGGAGTTGAACCCACAGCCTTTTTGGTGTATGGGACTTTGTTCCAACAACTGAGCCACCCAGGCTGGGCAGTAGGGCAAGTACTTTTTATTGAAATCAGAATCTTTTCTATTATCAAGAAAGCAGTACCTGAATTACAGGAGTAAGATAAATAAGAATAATTCAGTATACAATCAATTAGTGCTTCCCCAAAAGGGAAGAATCTTTTTTTTTGTTCCCCCCTTCTTTAAACTGGCTTACCACGAAGGCTGAAAATCAAAGAAGGGAAATAAAAAAAAATAGTTTTAGGAAAACAACAGATTGAAAGAGGAAGTCTAGACTATTCACAGAGGTTTAGTTTTTCCATTAGCTTTACCTTGCTTCCAGAGTAATTTGAGTGCCTGGGAATTTTCCCAGATCCCTCCCTTTTCCATCTCTCATGCTAACTTTTAACTTCTTATTGTTTCCATTGATGTCAAAAATTGGGAAGAATATTATTTTTGGCCATGATCCTAAACTCATTATTTGAAATGTAAGGGAAATGGAGGTGAGTTGCACAAATTAAAAGCAACCTGAGGAACATGAAACCTCCTCCTTCATTCGTTCTTACTTTCTTGCAAGAGAAAGACTACATTGTTGGGAAATAGACTCTGACTATAATTTAGATAATCTACATTTTTATTCAAAGTCTCATTTTTGCAGAGTCAGCATGAGGAGCTAAAGAAACAGCACAGCGACTTGGAAGAGGAACACCGCAAGCAGGGAGAAGACTTCAGTAGGACGTTTAATGACCATAAGCAGAAATACCTGCAGCTGCAGCAGGAGAAAGAGCAGGAACTTTCTAAGCTGAAAGGTATTTGGGAATCTGCTTAGCCCGTTCATATGGAAACAAGTGCTCATAGTAATGTTTCAATAGAAGAACAGACTTTTGATTTATTTGTTGTTTGCGTGGTGGTTGGTTTAGCTGTGTTACATGGTCCTTTCCTAGCCACTTACTTCTTTATAACATTCCACATTAATCCTTATCTCTTTGGTTTGTTTAAGGAAGCGGAGAATAGTTAGTGTTTTTCAGTGGGCACTTTGGCCAGATTGGGTAAGACAGTTCTTGCCTGTATGTGTTGGGTGTATGTGTTGCAAGACATTTGGCATCTCTGACCTCAACCCACAAACTGCCATCCATCCGTGCTCCCCAGTCCTTACGATGATCAAAAATTGTGATGGTGAAGCATTTCTTAAAATCTTCAAGGGGAAGAAAGACTTGTGAGTGGTGGCTCATAGTGGCTTGCCATAGCTCAGGCTCTTAGAGTCTGCCTGCCTTGGTGAGTCTTGGCCTCTTCAATCACTAGCTGTGTGACCACGGGCCAGTTGTGAAATCACCACCAGCTTCATTGTCCTCATCTGTAAAACTGGGATGTTCATACACAGTATCAGCCTCGTAGGGCTGATGTGAGGATTAAATAACTTATGAAAAGCACCTAGAACAGCTGTTGGTCTGTGGTAAACCTTCAGTACATTTAATTGCCATCAACATCAGCATCAGGTATTTTCGTAGTAATATGGAACAAAATGTGTCACTTCTCAAAGTGCCTGTGAGTTTTGGAAATGAGAAGTAGCACATTCTACAATTCCTATTCAGTGATTAATAAATATTAAATAATATTAAATTTAAATAAACTATTTAAATAAGTTCAAAGTGTGAAAAATGGTTTAAAAAATACATGGTGTCTCCAAAAACAGTGGTGAAATCTGAGTAAGGTCTATAGTCTAGTTAATTGTATTTGTGCCAAACAACTTCCTGGTGTTTGGAGTAGTATACTACATTTATATACAGGGTGGTCATTGAGAGAAGGTGGGTGATGGATACCTTGGACCTCTCTCTGTTTTTTTTTAAATATTTTTTATTTCAGAGAGGAAGGGAGAGGGAAAGAGAGAGACGGAAACATCAATGATCAGAGAGAATCATTGATTGGCTGACTCCTGCACGCCCCACACTGGGGATCAGACCTACAACCCAGGCATGTGCCCTGATGGGGAATCGAACCGTGACCTTTTGGTTCATAGGCCAATGCTCAACCACTGAGCTACGCTGGTAGGGCAAACCTCTCTGTGTTTTGTGTTTTTATGCAACATTTTGTCTGTAAGTATTTCAATAAGTTACAACAAAAAGGCTCGTAGGAGGAATTAAGTAGCCACTGAGGCAAATTACAAAGGGTTGAGGTGGTCTTGACAGTTGGACTGGGTGTCAGCAGATGATTCTCTCGAGGTGTAGACATGTAGGAGCTTTGGCCTGTCGGTGATGTGGCCGGTGGTGAGGGGTCATTAAGATAACAAAACAGCAATGCATCTATTTGACAGACCTGGAGCAGTTACTGTCTGTTGCTACGGTTACAGTGCAGATGCAAGAAAAAAGGGTCCTCGCGCTTTCTGTCTGTCTGATTGTGGCAGCCAAGATTGAATGGGGGAATACAAAACAATAATGATGATAATAATAATCTATATATATATAAGGCTAATATATGCAAAGTGTCCCCACGGGAGTTCGACCGGGAGACTGGGAGTTCTATCACTTGCTATAACATGCGCTGACGACCAGGGGACAGTGCGGAACGAAGGAAGGCCCCAGCTGGCAGCTGGCAGCAGGGAAAGGAAGGCCCCTGGCCGGCAGCTGGAAGGCCCCAATCAGCCCTGATCACCGGCCAGACCTAGGGACCCTACCCATGCACAAATTTCATGCACCGGGCCTCTAGTAATAATAATAATAATAACCAAACGAAGGAAGAAAGACTGAGTACAGAAGCCCTCACAGAAATAGTGTAAAGCAAGCATGTCAAACTCAAAGGCTAACGGCCAAATAAACGAGGTTTAAGTTTATGTGGGCCACAAAACACAAAAGCTTCAATTTTCATAGAAACATAGGTTTATTTTATTTATTTATTTATTTATTTATTTTATTTTTTTATTTTTTATTTTTTTATTTTTTTTTAATTAAATCTTTATTGTTCAGATTATTACATTTGTTCCTCTTTTTTTTCCCCCCATAACTCCCCTCCTCCCAGTTCCCGCCCCACCCTCCGCCCTCACTCCCCACCCACTGTCCTCATCCATAGGTGCACGATTTTTGTCCAGTCTCTTCCCGAATCTCCCACACCCCTTTCCCCCCCAAGAATAGTCCATTCCCTTTCTATGTCCCTGATTCTATTATAATCAACAGTTCATTCTGTTCATCAGATTATTTATTCACTTGATTCTTAGATTCACTTGTTGATAGATGCATATTTGTTGTTCATAATTTGTATCTTTACCTTTTTCTTCCTCTTCCTCTTCCTCTTCTTAAAGGATACCTTTCAGCATTTCATATAATCCTGGTTTGGTGGTGATGAACTCCTTTAGCTTTTCCTTATCTGTGAAGCTCTTTATCTGACCTTCAATTCTGAATGATAGCTTTGCTGGATAAAGTAATCTTGGTTGTAGGTTCTTGGTATTCATCACTTTGAATATTTCTTGCCACTCCCTTCTGGCCTGCAAAGTTTCTGTTGAGAAATCAGCTGACAGTCGTATGGGTATTCCCTTGTAGGTAACTGAGTTTCTTTCTCTTGCTGTTTTTAAGATTCTCTCTTTGTCTTTTGCTCTTGGCATTTTAATTATGATGTGTCTTGGTGTGGTCCTCTTTGGATTCCTTTTGTTTGGGGTTCTCCGCGCTTCTTGGACCTGTAAGTCCATTTCTTTCACCAGGTGGGGGAAGTTTTCTGTCATTATTTCTTCAAATAGGTTTTCAATATCTTGGTCTCTTTCATCTTCTGGCACCCCTATAATTCTGATGTTGGTACGCTTGAAGCTGTCTCAGAGGCTCCTTACACTATCCTCGCATTTTTGGATTCTTTTTTCATTTTGCTTTTCCGGTTGGGTGTTTTTTGCTTCCTCACATTTCAAATCATTGACTTGATTCTTGCGCTCCTCTGGTCTGCTGTCGGGAGTCTGTATAATATTCGTTATTTCAGTCCGTGTATGCTTAATTTCTAGTTGGTTCCCCAATATAAGATCGAGGGTCTCATTAGTTTTCTTGTAGATCTCATTAAGTTTATCGGCGGCTTCTAAACAGTTCTTGAGAGACCTTAAAAGTGTGGTTCTGAACTCTATATCTTCCATTGACAATTTTGTCCTGTTTCTTTGTCTCCGCATTTTGTTATGCTTCCTTGGTGCACCCCCTAGTGGTCTTTGTTCGTAGTCTTATAGTTAAATCTTGATTGTTGTAGCTAATTCCAGGGAGGGTTTGACCTCCAGGCCAAGTGGCTATGAGAATCAGCTGTGTCAGCAGTGAGAGAACTTCTGTCCTCTAGGGAGGTGCTAATCTAGCCTTTGCCTGAGGCTATCCGGCAAATGCCTGTGTGCAGGGCTTGGGCGGGGCGGGTCGCACAGGATCAACAGGGTGGGCCGGAGAGAGCAGTTATGGCGGCTCTCAGTCCTGTCCCCAGGGGCTCTGCTTCTCTGAGTCCCAGCACCCGCTGCAAACCTCGGAGAGAAAGCTGCACTCGCTCTGACCGAAGCCAGACAGTCCCGCTTCTCCCGTTTGAGTCTGGGTCCCTAAAGACTCGCCCAGATCTGGAGCTCAGAGTCTGCGACTCCCTCCCGATTGAAAACGCCAACCGCGCCCTCCGCCGCCAGCCCGCTCCGCGCACTCCGCACCTCAGAATTTGACTTCAGCACTGCGCCTCCTCTGAGTGTCCGTATGCGTTTCTCTTTCCTCCTAGTTGTAGGACTTCCACTCAGCCAGCGTTCCTGTGGTTCTGGGTGATGTCCCTTCCGTTTTTTGGTTTCACTTTTGAAGTAGTTGTTCAAAGCAGCAAACTCCGGCGTTAACCTATGCCGCCATCTTGGTTCTCCCATAGGTTTATTTTGATTGAGACATGCTGTATACAAAGGGCTGAAATAAATAATTGTTAACATAAAATAATAGAACATTTTAATAAAAAATAATATTTTTTCTTGCACTTTAACTTACCAGACACTGAATAACTGCACAAATTAATAAGCATAATGCAAATATTCGCTGCTGGTATTAGTGGAGAGAAATGGTGTGACTGAACGTAAGGCGCATAAGGGAAATGAATGCAACACGATTATAGTAATCAGTCATTAGCAAACGTTAGTTCGTTATTAATAACTAGAGGCCCAGTGCACAAAAATTTGTGCACTGGCTGGGGGGATGGGGAGGGTGTCCCTCAGCCCCACTTGTGCCCTCTCACAGTCTGGGACCCCTCGGGAGATAACCACCTGCTGGCTTAGGTCCGCTCCCCGGGTGGCAGATGGCAGGCCTGATCCCTCAGTGCCTGCCCCGCCTCCTTGGGTCACGCACACGGCAGGGCCGATCCGGGGGTTGGGGTGCCGCCCCGGGTCGGGTCACACACAGGATGCCCGGGCGGGCCAGCAGATAGATCACTGCTGCCCTGCCCGGCCGCCCCGGGTCGGGTCGCACACGGACGCCCGCCGCCCCGGGTCACAGATAGCAGGCCCGGATGGCTGCGGGGCAGGCGGGATGGCGCTGTCCTTCCCTGTCTGCAGTATGCAAATTAGCCACCATCTTTGTTGGTGGTTAATTTGCATATCGTGCTGATTAGCCAATGGGAGGCGTAGTGAAGGTATGGTCAATTACCATGTTTGTCTATTATTAGATAAGATTATATATAACAGGATATTGTAAAAATTAAGTTATGAAATTTTTATTAAAACATTTCTTACGTACCATTGGTGGGCCGCAAAAATATTTGTTGTGGGCCGCATGGTTGGACTCCCTGTCAGAAAGCACTTTCCCCGCCCTGGGAAGCCATACCTTTCAGTGTTGAGGGAAGAGACTTTGGCATAGTGGATACACTGAGCTAAGCTGAGTAAATATATTAAATTACTCTGATAATAAATAAGTAGATTCTTTAAGGAAAAAGAAATAAAATTTCATAGGTGCCTGACCTGTGCTTGGCACACTTTACATAACTGGTTCATATAATTTTAGCAGTATCCCTAAAGGGCAGGTTTTCTTATGTCTACTCTGTATTTACCTCTTTCTTTGAAACAAAATCCATGTGTAGTACAGTTTTAACAAATTATATATAGAAGTAAGAAATAAGGACCATGGAAAATAGGCAGACACGTATGTGAGTTCTGCCTACTAAGATAATTGGAGCCTGAACTTTCTGGCACCTAGGACAATAGGGGAAATATGGAAAGCTACAGAGGTTCTTGTTCGAAAGAGAGAATATCCTGATACCTTGGGGGTGGGGAGCCACAGAGACAAAGTGAGAGCATGAGAGGGGGCGGGGGGGGGGGGGGGGAGAGAGAGAGAGAGAGAGAGAGAGAGAGAGAGAGAGAGAGAGAGAAACACTCTGCTACCAATTAATTTTTGGGAAAAATTTCTCAAAGAGATCTTAACCAACAGAGTGTGACAACACCCTGATGACACTTTTGTAAGTAATTTTCACACCAGCAGTTTTGTTTGATTATGATCTTTGATAAAGCTTGGGATAGTAAGTTAAAGGGATAGATGCAGCTCAGTAGTGGCAAACTAAGGTGTGTAGTCAAATGGTCTTTGTAGTCTAGAGGAGAGAATTTGGAATTCCTGGGGAGATGAGCTGATAGCATATAAGCTTAGATAATTATTCTTTTCATTTGCATCATCATAATAGCTGTCACTCAACAGATGTTTACCATGTGCGGGAACCAAGGTGAGACGCTTCATGCAGTTATCTTATTTAATTCTCATAACAACCTGTGAGGCAGGCATCGTGTTGAGCCTAATTTAACAAATGAAGAAGTTGAGGCTGGCTAATACAGCAGAAGCATGGGCGCCCCTGCCACTGAGTTTATAGTCTGTAAGTGCTTTGAAATCTAGCAAAGTGTGGGTACTTCAAGTGTGTGTGTTCCTATGTGTGTAGACTGAAGTCCCATCCAGCCAGGGACACGTTTATGGTCCCCTTGGATCACCAGTGGTCCTTGAGAAAATCCATTATTCCATGTAGACCAGTGGTTCTCAACCTTCTGGCCCTTTAAATACAGTTCCTCATGTTGTGGTGACCCCCAACCATAAAATTATTTTCGTTGCTACTTCATAACTGTAATGTTGCTACTGTTATGAATCGTAATGTAAATATCTGATATGCAGGATGGTCTTAGGCGACCCCTGTGAAAGGGTCGTTCGACCACCAAAGGGGTCGCGACCCACAGGTTGAGAACTGCTGATGTAGATGGACAGACCAATCCCTGGCCACATTCCCCACCTTGTTGTCGATCTCTCCCCCAGACCAGTCACAAATCCAATGCCCAGGAGACAGCAGGGACTCCTAAGGAGTGAAGATGGACAGAAAAGGTGTTGAATGCTGGTGACTGGCACTTCCCTTCGGTCAGGGTTTGTCTGCAGGGGGGTGGCTGCCACTGAGGGGCAGTTTGCTAAGGATAGTCCAGTTGGCGTCTGCTGTCCCAGTGT